GGCAGATTCTATAACAGAGGTTGAAAATAAACAGAGCTGGATATTCCACTAGTGGACTGATAGTTTTCAGAACTGAAAGGTAAATATACTCATTCAAGGAAGAAAACAAGAAGTAGAAATTTACACCAAGTTACAACTTCACAGGTTTTTGTTTTGCAATCTGTAATTCTGTACATGTTTGAGTGATGACTTTGCAGATAAAATCTTTATGCTGAGACCATGCTTTTTATCTCCCAGCATACTTTGTGGAAGTATTGAGAGCTGAGAACTAACATCCGAATTTACAACATAATCCTCTACGATTTAGAATGCCCCTTATCGTGTGGTCATCACATCGTTTGTACAATGTAATCAAGAGGAAAATCAACAAACTCAATCTCACAAAGTAAATTAAAAAGGATACATTCATGTTTCCCCTTTATGTCCGTGTCAGATAGAGAGACTAGAAGGAATTTAAACATCATGGTATAATATCTATCACAGACATATCTTTCTAGTGGTAGGGAGCTCATTTTTCAAGGCTACCAGTCCATTAACCTTCACAAAAAGAAAAATAAAGCAAAACAAAGAAACACTCCCTGGAGAAATGGCATTGCTTCTAATCTTGCTTCTATATCTTACTGTGGAGATTTAAAGATAGAACAAGGCACCTCTCCAGGCACATGCAATGATAAAGTCACCCTGACATAAATACATAAAATGTCTAGTGGTACATACTGTAGAAAAATCTGTGATTTTTTTTTTTAATGAGAGAGAGTAACTGATATCTTCCCTGTCTTATCTTGTGATTTGTAAGTTGGAGGGCCAAAGCGTGAACCCCATTTATTTGTTAATGTCTTGGCCTGCTCTTGGTTGACACTTTACCTAGATTCATTCACTGTATGTATCTGGAACTATTAGTCTCCTGATAAATGCATTGTCAGAAAGCCAGAGGACAGTGATAAGATAGGAATAAGGGGCTCTTATTTGTTTTCATATGTTTCTGTTTGACTTAGGAGACAGTTATAAAACAGATTGATGCTTCTATTTTAAACAAGGTAGAAAGTCAGCATGAAATATAGGATTTGGGAAAGCCATTTACCACATAATTATAATTCCTTAAAATTCCTGTGTTCATTAAATATGAGAAGCTATAATCACACTTTATATAGCAATAGCATTACTCATTATTTTTCTCTCACAGAAGAGAGTTAAATAAACCCAAGTTTCACATTTTAAAATATTATTAGTTACAAAGTTTAAATATCATTAACTGAAGCAAAGCAAAAGCATATGCAGGTTGGTCTGGGATCTAGTTTCAAGTGGGAAAAATTACAGATTCAATAAGCAAGACTGAAATAAGGATTTAGTTCATTTCATTTGAAAGTCATGTCTTTTCCACAAATATAAAGTTTCTTTATCATCATGAGACAATATTAAAGTGTAAGATTCTCATCAATCTAAGAGATCAGAGGCAAAGTGGGAATAAAAGAAGAATCTGAAATCAGAAAGTGACACAGTGAACATGGACTGTAATGGGTTATATTCAAAATATCTATCAATTGCATGGCAAGGGCACAGACCCCTCAAGAGTGAGGAGCTCTGGAGACCCCCTCTTCTATTTGAAGACTTATTCTTTGGTTGTTAGATCATGGGGGAGGATTGGGTGCAGCTGAGGCCTTTGTGCTTACAACCTCCCAATGCAGTGTTTTTTTACTTTAATTGTGAAGAGATTGTTCATGGAAAATGTAGATGGTGAAATCACCAAATAATTTATAATCAGAAACCTTTCAGATCAGTGATTCCAACTGTTCTCCACCAAGACTTCTTCACTATGATTCACCAGAAAATTCCATATTCTGAATTTTTTAATATAAAACATACTATCAAATAAAATGGGTTTATTTTCTTTTAAATAATCAGATAATTATCACCATCTGAGCTAATTAATACAGCTTCTGAGGAGCATAAAGAATAACTCTTAAAATTAGATAATTATAACTAAGGTAAAGATATTTATAGTTTTAAATACCCTGCATAACCTTTTCCAAGCTAAGATTCAATGTTGTTAAGTTATTTGAAATATCATACACCTTTATTGCTCTTATCACTTAGGAAATGTCAAGGGTTTTAGGAGCTCTGTACCACGAACTGAGACCAAGACCAAATATGTGTTTCTTACTTTAAGTAACAATTATCACTGAGGAAAAATCATCTGTGAAGACTAAGGGAGTAAAGGCTGAGCTTAGGTTCAGGTAAGAGTGGGGATGGTAAGGAAGATCTCTTGCCTAATACTCCTGGGAAACCCTGCAATAAATGACTAGCAGCAACCACCAAGTATACTGTGAATTGCACAGGTGACAGTAGATTTTTTCCCAGCAAAGCCCCTTTCTGTCTCCAAGGCAACATTTATTTTTGTAGCTACATGGCACAAATCACAGGGTGGCAGAAAGAATACGAGAATAGAAATTGAAAGTGGAGTTGGAACTATTAGACATAAGTGGAAGTTTGATACCTTGATGAAATGTTAGAAATGCTTCTTGGACCTCAGTATCTCCAGCTGTAAAATGGGGAAAGGGGTGGACCTTGAAACTGCAAGCCCATGTGTTTTCTGTTAGTGTCCTCTATTCTAGTCCAGGATTGTTATGTGTTGTGGGATAGTGGAGTGGGGAGAGGGAAGGCAGATTCTATAACAGAGGTTGAAAATAAACAGAGCTGGATATTCCACTAGTGGACTGATAGTTTTCAGAACTGAAAGGTAAATATACTCATTCAAGGAAGAAAACAAGAAGTAGAAATTTACACCAAGTTACAACTTCACAGGTTTTTGTTTTGCAATCTGTAATTCTGTACATGTTTGAGTGATGACTTTGCAGATAAAATCTTTATGCTGAGACCATGCTTTTTATCTCCCAGCATACTTTGTGGAAGTATTGAGAGCTGAGAACTAACATCCGAATTTACAACATAATCCTCTACGATTTAGAATGCCCCTTATCGTGTGGTCATCACATCGTTTGTACAATGTAATCAAGAGGAAAATCAACAAACTCAATCTCACAAAGTAAATTAAAAAGGATACATTCATGTTTCCCCTTTATGTCCGTGTCAGATAGAGAGACTAGAAGGAATTTAAACATCATGGTATAATATCTATCACAGACATATCTTTCTAGTGGTAGGGAGCTCATTTTTCAAGGCTACCAGTCCATTAACCTTCACAAAAAGAAAAATAAAGCAAAACAAAGAAACACTCCCTGGAGAAATGGCATTGCTTCTAATCTTGCTTCTATATCTTACTGTGGAGATTTAAAGATAGAACAAGGCACCTCTCCAGGCACATGCAATGATAAAGTCACCCTGACATAAATACATAAAATGTCTAGTGGTACATACTGTAGAAAAATCTGTGATTTTTTTTTTTAATGAGAGAGAGTAACTGATATCTTCCCTGTCTTATCTTGTGATTTGTAAGTTGGAGGGCCAAAGCGTGAACCCCATTTATTTGTTAATGTCTTGGCCTGCTCTTGGTTGACACTTTACCTAGATTCATTCACTGTATGTATCTGGAACTATTAGTCTCCTGATAAATGCATTGTCAGAAAGCCAGAGGACAGTGATAAGATAGGAATAAGGGGCTCTTATTTGTTTTCATATGTTTCTGTTTGACTTAGGAGACAGTTATAAAACAGATTGATGCTTCTATTTTAAACAAGGTAGAAAGTCAGCATGAAATATAGGATTTGGGAAAGCCATTTACCACATAATTATAATTCCTTAAAATTCCTGTGTTCATTAAATATGAGAAGCTATAATCACACTTTATATAGCAATAGCATTACTCATTATTTTTCTCTCACAGAAGAGAGTTAAATAAACCCAAGTTTCACATTTTAAAATATTATTAGTTACAAAGTTTAAATATCATTAACTGAAGCAAAGCAAAAGCATATGCAGGTTGGTCTGGGATCTAGTTTCAAGTGGGAAAAATTACAGATTCAATAAGCAAGACTGAAATAAGGATTTAGTTCATTTCATTTGAAAGTCATGTCTTTTCCACAAATATAAAGTTTCTTTATCATCATGAGACAATATTAAAGTGTAAGATTCTCATCAATCTAAGAGATCAGAGGCAAAGTGGGAATAAAAGAAGAATCTGAAATCAGAAAGTGACACAGTGAACATGGACTGTAATGGGTTATATTCAAAATATCTATCAATTGCATGGCAAGGGCACAGACCCCTCAAGAGTGAGGAGCTCTGGAGACCCCATCTTCTATTTGAAGACTTATTCTTTGGTTGTTAGATCATGGGGGAGGATTGGGTGCAGCTGAGGCCTTTGTGCTTACAACCTCCCAATGCAGTGTTTTTTTACTTTAATTGTGAAGAGATTGTTCATGGAAAATGTAGATGGTGAAATCACCAAATAATTTATAATCAGAAACCTTTCAGATCAGTGATTCCAACTGTTCTCCACCAAGACTTCTTCACTACGATTCACCAGAAAATTCCATATTCTGAATTTTTTAATATAAAACATACTATCAAATAAAATGGGTTTATTTTCTTTTAAATAATCAGATAATTATCACCATCTGAGCTAATTAATACAGCTTCTGAGGAGCATAAAGAATAACTCTTAAAATTAGATAATTATAACTAAGGTAAAGATATTTATAGTTTTAAATACCCTGCATAACCTTTTCCAAGCTAAGATTCAATGTTGTTAAGTTATTTGAAATATCAAAATGTTTCAAGAAGCCCCACAAGTACTACTTCCAGAATCCAAATATTTAAAGGTTCTGAATTGGGAAACAATGGATTAAATTAGTTTAAAATCATCTAACAAATATGAATTATTCTCACCTGAAGAATTACATTGAGTTATTTAATATACTGCAACAATCTAAAACTGACAAAAGAGAAAATCCTGGGCTCTTTCAAATCTTTTTTTCCACTCTGTCAAAACTGTTACTTGGCTCTGAGACGGTAGGAGGAGTAAGCACCCAGCATGTACTCACCAGCCTGGTTAGTTGTGATGCTAACTGCCGCAAACTGTCTCGGCGGTGAGCTCAGCTCTGACACCCCGTTAATGGCATCAATCTCAAAAGTATAGTTAGTGTGTGCCAGGAGGTCTGTCACTGTCGCCGTGGTGTTGGTGAGTCCGAACTGTCGAGGGAGGAAGCGGACATTTGGGCTGCATGGCTCACACTGCTTTACATTCCACCCACATTTTTTACATATGATGTTGAAGGTAACATCTTTCCGGCCTCCTGTGTCCAGGGGCCAACTCCAGTCCAGGATAACCGAAGTCTCGTTTATATTAGAGATAACATTTCTTGGTGCAGATGGAGGCCCTGCAAAGTAGTTCAACAAAGATTAATGAGCCTCACCTTCTGTTTTCTACTACAAGGGAAATAGATAATTTACAATGGAACTGAAAGAAGTAAATAACCATCTTGTCTTTATTATATACTTTTAATTCGTCCTTAGAGGATGCATGAGCTTATAGACACATGGATTCAAGAGCACTGTCGTCCCCAAGCTATGAATGGGGGAGTTTTGACTCAAAGCTGAAGGTGCACTCGCAAAGTCCAACAAAGGAATTTACCACTAAATTCAATGCCCTTGTGAATAGTTACGAAAACTTCAGTATTAGTTTTATAAATCTTAGTCCTTTCTCCCTATGACCTATGACCAATAGGTAACAAGAGGGAATAGAAATGTAAAAACACAAATCCCATGTCTATAACCTCCCCTATTCTGTCAAATGTAATGTAAGATCCAAAACAAGATACAGAAAATTTTCCTTCTTTCTGGAGGCCCTGTTGCAGGAAGTGCTTTAAAAACTAATTCATTTTGTGTGATAAATGTTGCATTTGTGGTGAGCCAGGCATGAAGAGTAAAGCAGAGAAAGCTTTCAATTTGCACATGGATAACAGAAGGAAATGGGCCAAATGCTTAAAAGAAAAAATAAATAAATAAAATAAAACAAACATGGAGGCATGGGTTGCAGCAAAACTACTCACGGGTACAAGCCATGGATGGAGGGTCTTTGTCTGCTCGGAAGTAATTATTCTCACACCTGCAGTTCACTGAACCATCTTCGTGAGTAGAACTGTGAGGTGGGCATTTGGCACACTTCATGTTACCATCTGAAGCTTTGTAGAAACCTGGTCGACAAGCTACAAACAAAATGAGTCTTTTAAAATTCTGTGATAATTTTGAAAACGTATTTTTTGAAAACAAGGAAAACAGATTTTAGGATTTTAGGGCGTACATGCATTATTAATAAAAATCCATTTTTTTCCTCCTAGAACTTACAGCAGCAAATAATGTGGCCCAGTGTAGATTCTCCACACAAACGTTCAAATTTGCACCAAATGTAAAGGGGGGAAAAACCCAAAGATTAAGAGTATTTTCGCACTAGGGTGTGATGAAATTTCCAGCTCATGTTTTCACAGCTTTACTTGGCATTGGACTGTTTGTAGAAAAAATAGAGCAAAGCCACGTCATCATGTCGCTAAGCCCTTTTTAAACATGATGCAATGCATACATTCTCAACACTGTACCACATTACTAATTGTTTTCTAATTGGTTTCTGTGTGTACAACTGCATCCTCAGAAACTGTAAACAGTTGAAAGAAGAAAATATGGCCTTGTTGATATTTTAAGATTCTTAATAGATAGTTCTCATGAACTATGATATATTTTTCTGCCTAGAAAATGTTGTTTGTTACCTTCTCTGGCAATGAATAAAGATTTTAATACATTTCCTGTAGCATCTGCAATACATAGGGAAGTACAATTTCTATTTAAACTAATCTACATGTGAATTATTACTAGGTTAAAGCTTTTTTAATAACTCTGTGTCCTCGTCTTACTTTCTGGCCATATCTCTGAGTAACATGTTTTTTCTTAAGCCCAATGAACTGGTTATCAAATATTGATTCCAACTTTCCATTTAGTATTGACTATCTATTTACTGCATCAAAAGAAATATGCCTCTACTATATTATTTTCATTTAATCTCACATAAAATTCAAAATGCTATACTGTCTCATCTGATCCATTTTTATAATTACATTAGAAATCATAGGAAAACCCTAACAAGGAGTCCCTTGATATTCCTTTAAGAAAGGAATTTATAGTTCAATATTTTAAAGTTTTTCTACATCATCTTTGGAAGTCAATAATTTCTCACAGCACTAAAACTCAATTTCAATGCGATATTGAGATTTGATGGCTTAAAGCATTTACTTATACAATTTGCCATATAGATTTTATCATTGGATTCCAGAATTTCAGCTTCATATTCTCAGTGACACGTTGTTTGCATTCAAGTGAAACCTGTGAGGACAAATCTTAACTTTTATAATCATTAAATGAATTTTGAAAGGTAACACATTGTATCTATAATAGTATTTCTTCCTATATAACATTTCCTGGGCAATACATTGACAAGGGAAATATTCTGCCAAGACAAACAATTAGAAAAGCTTAAAATGATAGCAATCATTAATCTAGTCTTGCTGTTTTCTAGCTCTTATTAAGAACGGCTGGTCTAGGGACATTTTACACGAAATTGAACTTTTGGTGCTACATTGAAAGCTAGTTAAATAAATTCTATCGCCCTTACCAAATGTAGATTAGAATTATAAAGACTTGGACATTGTCCTTTAGCACTGGTTAGAAATGTCCAGGCATATCTCACATCATGCTGCCTTCAGGGGAAATGATTAAAGTATAAACAAACTATACACTTAACTTCTGGTTTCAATTTAGCTCATCCAGTGTCTTTAGATTCACAAAGAGGGCATTGCTGAGTCTTTAAAGATTAAGTTGCAGGGTTCAAATGTACTCTGTTTTTTTGTTTGATTGCAAGTTTAACTGCTCATTTTTATTTGAGGTTTTTATAATCTTCACAACATTTAGCATAAAGGTATTCACTAAATGTTCAATCACTTTTTGTTGATATTATAAATGGCTATATTGTGTGATACTTAAAGAAAAGACAAGACAGTCATACAATCACTTCTTATCTGCAGCACTACAGTACAAGATTTCTGATAGTAACTTGAAAGAAGCTATAATTAATAAACATAGAAGTTAAGAATGTGACCCAGACTAGTATCTAGACTTGACCTAATTATGACTAAATACTAACCTTAGAGATATATTATAGTAAAAGATAGGTAGGCACATAAACGTGCAGTATAATAAATATTTTCCAATTCCTTAGTCTTATTCAGGCTCTAAGTTAGCCTTGAGCTTATAAATGTCCCTAATTCTGTCCATCCATTTCGATTTTTGCAATCAAAAGAGGGCAACAGACATTCAACACAGGCCATGTGAAGCAAGAACTCCACTAAATCAAGCAGTTGGAAGAGACTATACAGAAAAAATCTCATTTGAGAAAGATCATGGAAAGATGGTTGGAGTTGGCCTATAAATAGCATAATCAAATTCACAAATAAATCAACATGGGAAGACAAACTATTAAGTAGAGGAATGTGGTGGGTACTGCCGGTTCCACATACAACATCCAGATGCTGCTTCCTGCTTGCTAGTAAGATCCTGATTTTGTTCAGAATTGTACCTTGCCAAGCACTTCCTTACTTAGAAGTACTTCTTAGACCTCATTGCAGATAGTGATGAATGGCCAAAAAGATGGCCAAAGAGATACAAATGGAAATCTGATGAAGGTCTTTGAGATATCTTTTACTTTTCCTAATAAGATGGTCCAAATGCAATTGAAGTTATTTCATCTATATTATTCCAGCATTCATTTTGGGCATAACGGCTTACACATGACAGCAAGTGAAAGGCCAAGAAACTCAAGAGAGATGTGTACCCTGCATTTGTTGATTCAGCAAGTACCTATCTCAACATTTCTTATAAGGTCAGATAATGAACACCCTGTTTGCTTAAATTACTGTGGTCAAGTTTTCTTTTACCTGCAGCAGAAAGTATTCCTAAATTATATAAAAGACAAGCAGAAAATCTGTTGAGACAATACAAATTAAGTAGAATTACAGCTTAATGGAGCTAAAAAGATCCTAAGAAATCACATTGGCCAGTATATGTTTTACATCTGAGGACTCAGAAATCTAGGATGTTAGGTGGCACACAGGACAGGCTCTGCTCTGCATCTTCTGGTACCCAGTAGCTAACTGATAGGCTTTAACCGCCTATTTATAGGTATTCAATGAATGCCAACTACATGCAGTGTATAATGCTAGTTTCTATAACAGCATCCTGAATTTTCTTTCTGAAGGAATTTTTATATGTACCATCTCAACTGAGTCTCACAACAGTTCAATTGAACTAATCAGGTCAGATACTAATCTACTCATTTTACAGATGGACAATTGAAGCAGAATCAGAAGGAGCATCATGGCCGAGGTAACAGAGAAATTCAGTGGTGTGATTGGAACAAGCAGTTTTCAGCTTTTAATTTATGTAAGTCAATTACTGAAAGTAAGTTATTTATTTTCCGAAACCATGGATTACTTTCCTAGTAGTTCTGAATTGTTGGCATAACACTGAAGAACAGTCATCTTAAAATATTTAATTAAACAAATGCAAGTCATTTTTCATCTTTTCCTAGTAAGAAACTATTTCAGACACTGTAATGTTTTCTTGTATTTCTCTAAAATTTTCTGTCTATTTGATGTGTGACATTGTTATGGGAAGATGAGCAAGTGTGTTCTTTTGTTGGAAGGGAAAAAAGAATCTATCAACTTCAAGAACAGGATGACCCACTCTATGTGGGAGGCACACAAGAAAATTTTCCCTTTTGTGCTGTAAGCAGAATCTCTAAATTCTCCCCCAGAATTATACAACAGATTTATTCATTAACTGAATAATTTATTCACTAACAAAATGATTATGCTGGTAGGAAACACACTTTTAAAATGCATACTTGCTCTAAAAATTTTTTCACACCAATAAAAAGTCTTTCTCCTTTGCAGTAAATCAACTTGTGTTTAAATATCTATCTATATATCTTCTTCACCCTTCAAAAAATCTTTATGGAAGGATTTGAAACTTTACCTATAAAGGGCATAAATGCTGTTTTATTATCTTTGCTTATTGTAGTTAAAGCAATGATTATAATTTGAAAGCACCTCCTTTCCTTCATGAATGTAAAACTAGTGATATAATATCACACATTTCTCTCATTTAAGTTGTAGAGTCTGAGAAGGTTCAGCATATTAAAAAAGTCAGCTAAGGAGTAGAAAGTAGTATTTTCTTTTATTGTTAAAGGCAAGTCTTTTATAATTTTTTGTAGAATATCAAAGAAAACAGAACAGACAAGCTAATGCTAATTCATATTTATCCAGTTTTAAGCTTTGAAATAAAAAACTTCTGCTATATAAGCTAGAGGGTATTATGCTCAGTGAAATAAGTCAGGCAGAGAGAGACAAATATCAAATGATTTTCCTCATTTGTGGAGTATAACAATGAAGCAAAACTGAAGGAACAAAATAGAAACAGACTCACAGACTCCAAGAAGGAACTAGAGGTTACCAAAGAAGAGGGGTGGGGGAGGATGGGTGGGGAGGGAGGGGAAAAGGGATTGAGGGGTATCATGATTGGTGCACATGATGTGTGTGCAGTCACGGGGAAGACAGTGTAGCTCAGAGAAGACAAATAGGAACTCTGTGGCATCTTACTATACTGATGGATAGTGACTGCAATGGGGTATGGGGGGGACTCAATAATAAGGGTGAATATAATAACCACATTGTTTTTCTTGTGAAACCTTCATAAGAGTGTATATCAATGATACCTTAATAAAATAACAAACAAACAAACAAACAAAAAGATTTCTGCTATATAGCTAAGGCCTTCCCTGATGCAGGACACCTACTAAAACAATACTTAACTACAGTGGATATACACTTATTTAAAACCTGCTGCCAGGTAACAGAATTCTGATTCAGACCTTTCTTCAGGTAATCTAGTAGCATATGTTCTTGTCAGTCAAATGCTTGTAAAATTATTTAATATATTTCAATCCAAGGATAGGAAAACCAAAAAGTAATTAAACAGTTTTAAGATTGTTTAAGTGGAAGCAATTTGCCACTTTTTTTCTTTTTTTGGTGATCCCAGAGATGTTTTATCCTCTTGCTGTAGTGGAAATTTTTGAACTAGCCAAAGTTAAGTGTGAAAGGAACTC